TATTTCTGTTGAGCTCGTCGATGAGGTCGTGGTAGAATTGCACACCAGATTTACTCACTCCATGCTCTTCTCTCCCATCTGATAAACCATTATATTGTTTCGTTAATATTTGGAATTATATACATAAATTAAACACACTAAACTTTATTCACACTAAATCAATCTAAAGCACATATACACACGAGGAAAAATTCTCGTCCACGAGATAGATAATCTGAAGGCGTCTGTGTTGAGATTCTTCATTAATTGGACATCTTCCTACACACATATTTCAGTAAAGACAAAATTGCAACATCACGTATTAGTAGACTCATTAACGGGATATAAATTTAGATTTAGTAGATATACGTGGTAATTGTATTGTCTTCTCGTTTCGTTTTTTCAAAAATTAAATAAATTCTTTTTCAAAAAAAAGTTAAAAAGTATCATTTCAAGCCTTGAAACCATTTTAAGATATAAATCGATTTCTGGATATATTAATTCACATCGGATCAAGATGAGTTTGTCGATATTTAACAACACTAATTGTTATCTTTATATTAAAAGAAAATTAGAATTTCTATTTACATAATAAGTAATATTTTTCTAATCAAAGTATATTATGTTTCTCTTTTGCATATTGTTTAGTTTTAAAATACTTGATATCTTTTATTAGTTATATATATATATATATATATATAAATTTCATTATCTGTAAATACATGTATTAAATTTTTATAGATTAATAATGAGATATCTATCATTATGTAAGATAAATAATTCCACCTTAACTTACAAAATAAGCACTTTCATATGTATCCAATTACGATTATAAAATCCAATCAATTTTTAATTATTAACTGTGTTTAAAATAAAGGAAAGAAATTATTGTAGCTTCGTTGTAGAATTTTTGAGTAATTTTATGTGAGAAGTCAAAAAGTTTTGCACGATTTTTTATAAGTTGATTGTTTCTAATGGAACATCAAAAACATGTCATATTTTCACTTTTCAAGATGATTATGAG